CTTTTATAATTCATTACCTTTATGCTAGAAAAGTATCACGTGAATTGAGAGCCATTGGAATTGGAACAATAAAATTGATTAAGTAAATGAATGTGAAGTTCAAATGGACATATTTTGTATCTAGGCATTACAGATATTTTTGGTAGTAGGAATATGCTGCTGGAATAGGCCACCCTTTTTCAGTAACATATATATTTAGGAAAGCGCTGCAAACCTGTGGAAAATATAATTATGATGATTTAGGTGTAACTTTGTATTAGAGATACTTGTAGAAGACTTGCTTTATGAATAATGGGGATAGAATGACCTCATTACAGCTAGAAACCAGTCGCATATTACTAATAAGACATTAACAAACAATACTCCCGAGTTCATGGCCTTTTTAAAAAAAAAAATGAATCAAAATAAGATAATGCAAATCTGTAACAGATCGGAAAAGATAACTGAGTGTTTGAAAACATAGACTTTATATTATTTGTATTTCTCATGACGACTTAATCGAGAATGTTTGTTATTTTAAGGATGTTATTGGTATTGTCTTTTACACGAGTCTGTAGATAAGAATGTTTGTTATTTTAAGGATGTTATTGGTATTGTCTTTTACACGAGTCTGTGGATAAGAATGTTTGTTATTTTAAGGATGTTATTGGTATTGTCTTTTACACGAGTCTGTGGATAAGAATGTTTGTTATTTTAAGGATGTTATTGGTATTGTCTTTTATACGAGTCTGTGGATAAGAATGTTTGTTATTTTAAAGGATGTTATTGGTATTGTCTTTTACATTAGTCTGTGGATAAGAATGTTTGTTATTTTAAGGATGTTATTGGTATTGTCTTTTATACGAGTCTGTGGATAGGAATGTTTGTTATTTTAAGGATGTTATTGGTATTGTCTTTTATACGAGTCTGTGGATAAGAATGTTTGTTATTTTAAGGATGTTATTGGTATTGTCTTTTACACGAGTCTGTGGATAAGAATGTTTGTTATTTTAAGGATGTTATTGATATTGTCTTTTACACGAGTCTGTGGATAAGAATATTTGTTATTTTAAGGATGTTATTGGTATTGTCTTTTACACGAGTCTGTGGATAAGAATGTTTGTTATTTTAAGGATGTTATTGATATTGTCTTTTATACGAGTCTGTGGATAAGAATGTTTGTTATTTTAAAGGATGTTATTGGTATTGTCTTTTACACGAGTCTGTAGATAAGAATGTTTGTTATTTTAAGGATGTTATTGGTATTGTCTTTTACACGAGTCTGTGGATAAGAATGTTTGTTATTTTAAGGATGTTATTGGTATTGTCTTTTACACGAGTCTGTGGATAAGAATGTTTGTTATTTTAAGGATGTTATTGGTATTGTCTTTTATACGAGTCTGTGGATAAGAATGTTTGTTATTTTAAAGGATGTTATTGGTATTGTCTTTTACATTAGTCTGTGGATAAGAATGTTTGTTATTTTAAGGATGTTATTGGTATTGTCTTTTATACGAGTCTGTGGATAGGAATGTTTGTTATTTTAAGGATGTTATTGGTATTGTCTTTTATACGAGTATGTGGATAAGAATGTTTGTTATTTTAAGGATGTTATTGGTATTGTCTTTTACACGAGTCTGTGGATAAGAATGTTTGTTATTTTAAGGATGTTATTGATATTGTCTTTTACACGAGTCTGTGGATAAGAATATTTGTTATTTTAAGGATGTTATTGGTATTGTCTTTTACACGAGTCTGTGGATAAGAATGTTTGTTATTTTAAGGATGTTATTGATATTGTCTTTTATACGAGTCTGTGGATAAGAATGTTTGTTATTTTAAAGGATGTTATTGGTATTGTCTTTTACATTAGTCTGTGGATAAGAATGTTTGTTATTTTAAGGATGTTATTGGTATTGTCTTTTATACGAGTCTGTGGATAGGAATGTTTGTTATTTTAAGGATGTTATTGGTATTGTCTTTTATACGAGTCTGTGGATAAGAATGTTTGTTATTTTAAGGATGTTATTGGTATTGTCTTTTACACGAGTCTGTGGATAAGAATGTTTGTTATTTTAAGGATGTTATTGATATTGTCTTTTACACGAGTCTGTGGATAAGAATGTTTGTTATTTTAAGGATGTTATTGGTATTGTCTTTTACACGAGTCTGTGGATAAGAATGTTTGTTATTTTAAGGATGTTATTGGTATTGTCTTTTATACGAGTCTGTGGATAAGAATGTTTGTTATTTTAAGGATGTTATTGGTATTGTCTTTTACACGAGTCTGTGGATAAGAATGTTTGTTATTTTAAGGATGTTATTGGTATTGTCTTTTACACGAGTCTGTGGATAAGAATGTTTGTTATTTTAAGGATGTTATTGGTATTGTCTTTTATACGAGTCTGTGGATAAGAATGTTTGTTATTTTAAAGGATGTTATTGGTATTGTCTTTTACACGAGTCTGTGGATAAGAATGTTTGTTATTTTAAGGATGTTATTGGTATTGTCTTTTATACGAGTCTGTGTATAAGAATGTTTGTTATTTTAAGGATGTTATTGATATTGTCTTTTACACGAGTCTGTGGATAAGAATGTTTGTTATTTTAAGGATGTTATTGGTATTGTCTTTTACACGAGTCTGTGGATAAGAATGTTTGTTATTTTAAGGATGTTATTGGTATTGTCTTTTACACGAGTCTGTGGATAAGAATGTTTGTTATTTTAAGGATGTTATTGGTATTGTCTTTTACACGAGTCTGTGGATAAGAATGTTTGTTATTTTAAGGATATTATTGGTATTGTCTTTTATACGAGTCTGTGGATAAGAATGTTTGTTATTTCAAGGATTTATTGGTATTGTCTTTTATACGAGTCTGTAGATAAGAATGTCATTACCTGCTCCACAGATTAACAACAATAATCACATGGCAATCATCAGCTTAATCTCAGCAATCATTACACCTAAGAAAAACACCGAGGGGATCCAAAGGAACGCCAATCTCCGGGGATTATCTACATTATATCATATTCTCTAAATCTTTAAATCAAGGAATACTTTCATGGTCAAAATGGGGGGAAAATGTTTTCTTATGCCAACTTTACAAGTTCTCGATGCATCTAGTAGATAAGGTTTAAATCTTTTTGTGGTTAATCGTATTTTTAAGAATTACTTGTATGTTGTGAAAAATATTAATGGGAATCAAACAATTTTAAAATATTTCAGATACCGAATACATGGAGATTTCTCGCTAGAGTAATGATTTCGTCGTTCACAGGCAATATTCCATCAAATTAACAGTAGGAGAAAAGTGAACAAATAAATTACTCTGTAAATAACTGCAAAGAAAAAATGCAATACAACAACTAGAAATAGGTTCATATGACATGAAAGCCCCATCCAGTGGTACATTTGTATTGAACTATGAAAAAAATTTACCCAAAGCTTGTTTCTAATAGTAAAATGTGATAAAAAAGGAATATTTTCTTATCATTTTCATACAAAGAACTGATTCATTTAGCACAGTTGTTGCTTTTTGTATCATGGTGTGTAATATTAAATTCACCCTATCTTATAGCTAAAGAATGTCTCATTGTTTCGAATTCATTCTCTCTTAAGTAGCAAATTTATATAATCATGTTCTTTTAAGAATTATGGTTGAAGCGTGTGGAATTCAATATGATGATGAACAGACAGAACTAAGAGCGAAATGAGAGAAATTGGATATGAAGGTGAAGGTCAGAAAATTATGACACAGTTGAAGGCTCTTAACCAATTTGTATCAGTAAATGGAGTTTGAAAATATCTTTAACAGTGCAGTGTAATTTTTTGAAACTCTGTGCAAATTAAGGAATAGTGAGGTTCAAGGTCATAGAAAAGGTCAGGGTCAGAAAATTTTAACACATTTGATTGCTCTTAACAATATATGTCAGTGTATGAAGTTTGGTGAAAACATCGTGAACTTTTTTATTGGAACAGAACAAAACCGTGAGATCAAGATGATTTTGGTGGTTCAAACACAGGATGTAACACTGAATGAAGTTTGGTAAAAATAACGAACAGTTTCTTTGAAACTGAGCCAAATGCAAAATGAAGGCAAATGGTGGGGAAGTCATGAGAAAGGTCAAGGTCACAAAATTCACTGTTGCATTACTCCAACCTTGTATAAAGTTTGATAGAAATAATTGTTGAACAGTTGCTTTATTCTATTTTACTTTATTGCTTATTCGTTTATTTGTTTTTAAATGAGCGAAACTCTAAGTGTGACAGAAGGGCAGAACGAGGGACGGACGGACAAAGAATATTTTCCCTGGAAGGCGGATCATAAAAATCAAAGAAATTTATGTAATATTCAATTCTAACATTTTTTTAATTTCCGACACTGCTAATTTTTTTTTATTATAACAGGAACCTTGTAATTTTATTTTTTAAAAAAATAGGATAAGAAAATATTATCTACATATAATAGAATAGCATAAAAACAATTCAACGATATATTAAAAATCGTAACTCAATTGCGAAAGAAAAAAATCTTGATAACAAGTTGAAACAAGGTTTGTGAACTTAGAGGCAGGTGGTATTGTTTTGATTACATCCGAACAATTCATTTAAATTCAAGACAATTAGGATTTCTTGCTGAGCAGATAATCGAACACAACCAAGGAAAGAGAAACGTATGGCAATTGGGGGAACAAATCGATCACGATTTAAATGAATCTTAAACAAATCTTAATTGAATGTCTACGGGCACTTGTTTCTAGTTCCAGGCCCTCTCGGTAAGCGAGGCATGATAAACATTCGGCTGACTGAATTCACAATCAAACACAATTAATGAGCAATTTGTTGAGAAAAAGAGAAAAAGCAAACAGAATACTTGCTCTTTAAATATCTGGGCTGTGTAAGAAACCCTAGGAATGTAATATCTGAGATTGTCATTAGTGTGAGAAAGTTCTACACCTGATCAATGTTACAGGCATTGAAGTATCCAGGACAGCGTCAGGCGCGCGGACGCCATGTAAACAACTTAATGCTGGGGATTATAGACAGCACGCGCAAATTGTCGCTTCATCAACAGCACGTGTAGATGAACGGTACAACATATGTTGAAGACGCTGGAAAAGTTACAGAGTTTGAAGGAAGTACTATACGCATGCGTAATTCGCAGTGATGGCGACTTGCATGTAACGGAAAAGTGATAACACATAAAAAAGTTTTTTGGGGGAAGTATTAATAGGTGCTAAGTGCTGCATGTGTACAGTGGATGTTGTTAGGGCCGATGTAGAACATGCTGTATTATGACGTGGACATGGCTGTTTAGTGTCGTGTTTTTGTTGCTGATAGTTCCTGATGCCTCTGATGGAACACTAGCGAGAGGTAAGTTCTGGGTCTCTTACGCTACAGGTGACATCAGAATGATGCTACGACTATGTTGCAGATATACTGCTGCTTTTTCATGTACTGACTGGTCTCTATACTTTGGTTTCCGTGTATAACAAGTGTCAGCGGAGTGATACTGTAACTTTATGTCGACTATCATCTGTATTTTCTCTGTAATTATACCGAATTCCCCTCTTCTTGTTTCATTTCTAACTGGATTAAAGGTTTGAAATGTAAGATATTTTTATGGCCAAATTAGAGATGATCTTGGACTCACTTAGATTATCTATGAAGCCTCAAGTCACGATTTCGAAGAGCCCAAAAGATTCTGCCAATGCATCATGTACTGTCTATGCCCTTTCCGTGACAATGCACCGGAAACTGAATGCTTGTCGGTTACAATAATCTCTGGATCACCGATCACAGAGAGTGAAAGGAATGTTTTTATCGGAGATTTCCCTGTTTGCATGCTTGATCTTCATTAATATTGTATATAATAGTGAATATAAATCAAATGGTCCACGTGAAACAGCCAAAAAGCAGAAAACCAACGTTTATGAAAGCGCGTATATTTTAGATTATATATCTTTATCGATGTCGACATTATAGAAAGTAAATACACATGTAGAGTCGGGAGGATATAAAACCAGTATCGGCGAGAATTAATTAAATCTCACTAAACTGATCTGACAGTTTAACCTGAAACAAGTTCTTCAACAATTTGTGAATCTATTTGTCGTCATATCTATTTCTTCTAGGACAGAAAACACGGTCAGATTTCAAACTTCAGATTCATAAAGTAATGGTAACAGATCGACATAAACAATAGATAAGGTAAATCCGGCAACAGACTGACTGGCCGCCATCTGAACAAACGGTCTACCGGGGCTTAAAGATCAATGTCCTTAATTAATAAACACAAAGTCGTGTCCACTTCTGATTAGAATTCAGGTCCAAACGATGAAGAAGAAGCAGCAAATTGCTTGTCAATAGAATTACAATACGTCACTTTCAAAACATATATGTACATATGAGTTAAGAGAAAGCATTGGTGCAAGTATCAAATATTTAGTCCAGAATTTATATACTTTGTTTACAAGAGTAGCAATAACACTTAATAAAACAACGACTGTAAGTGTTTAGGACTGCGTTGATTACACGAGTTTGATAAAATGACAAAAATAAAGTCTGACAAAATTGTTGTATTAGTTGGTTTTGAGAAATGATAAAAGGTTGTCAGTATTTTCTTTTATCAGAAAGTGTGTTAAAAAGTACCTTATAATCGATCAGAAAGTATGTTAAACGTACCTTATAATCGATTAGAAAGTATGTTAAAAAGTACCTTATAATCGATTAGAAAGTATGATAAAAAATACCTTTAATCGATCAAATAAGAATTGAATATTATTTTAAAAGGTTTCCTTTTGCGAATGTAGACTTTTATGTTTAGTTTATTGACAGTTTGTTCACTCACCAGCAGAAATATACGGCACATGTAGCGATTAATCCGAAGACTTGTTATCGCTAGAAAACAGTGCAGTAAATGATAAACTGAAAAATCCGGATTGTAAATGACTTGCTCATTTTGTTTCTTGAAGTATGATACACTTTTTTATTCCCTCGTGTATAGTATTCAGACAAAACATGAAAATTCACTATCTGTACTTTAAAAACTCGACACCACCACCATTAGCATTTCTAAGTCAAACTTAACATTTTAATTAAATGTCAAACACAAAAATAATAACTCTAATTCTGAGCATAGGCGCTCGGTTTGAGGATGGTGTGTTTTGTGTATTGTGAGTTTTCCTAGATCTATCTAAATACACTAATTAAAATAAAAATCGAATATTGCTGAAATTAGCAGTTTTAAAAAGTATCATATTTATGTACATAAAAAAATACAAGGATCGCCACTCGCCATCTTGGATTATAGGGGGGTACCTTGATTTACACTTGATTTTATCAATACCTACATTTTTCCTACGATGCCGGGTGAGATCTAGCTTTACAATTGATTGAATGACCCCCTTCTATCGTCTGCCGATTTGCACTTGCCGCTTAAAACGCGCAGAGAACCAAAATGTCCATGATACCTAGCACATGATATCGAAAGCAACGGAAGTGATGACTTCTAACTATGTAAAATACAGAGTTGTCCCGGAATTGCATGGTACATCTAGAGAGAACAAGTTTAGCGCGGTTTCTGTTCTTTCTAGCTAGATTTTCCTAGATTTCTTAGATTTTTTCTAGATTTTTCCATGAAATTTCTTCTTACTGAAAATCTGCTGAATCTATATATATCGACGACGTATTATCAATTCATATGTCGACACGATATATTCCAGTGAGCTTGAAATAAAAGATACCAGAGTCTGACACATCTGTTTAATATTTGGATATTTTACTAGAAAAAGACGTTAATGGTAATCTAACAACAAAGCTTTGTTATAGACGTGATGACTTTAACTTTTCAATCGTCAACTTCCCTCACTTATGCAGCAATATACCCTTATTAGCTGTATATGGGGTGTATATCTCTCAGTTGATTCGATACGCACGAGCATGCTCTACGTATGAACAATTCTAAAACGAGGTAAGTTAATGACAAACAAGTTGATGAAACAAGAACATCAACAGTCTCGTTTAAAGTCATCATTTCGTAAGTTCTATGGTCGACACAATGACCTTGTCAGCAAATACAATCTATCATTAAGTCATATGCTGACTGATGTTTTTCATACTAATTGTTAGGACATTATTTACACACTGAATTGTCGACGGATTTTCCGTTATTTACCGATCATGGCAAGGAGCACACGGCGGATGTGACCGGTCGGCAGTGAATGCTCACTCCTCCACGGCACCTGATCCCACCTCTGTTTTTGGTGGTACGTGTTTGCTCAGCTCCATATTTCATGCCTTAATTTCAAGAACTGATTTAAGTAAATATTTAACTTTACATAGTTCAAAAACAAATTATATTCAGTAGTTTTGAATTGCCAAATTTTATCGTCTCCCATTTCTTATGAAATAAAATTATTTCAATATGTATAACAAGTTCCTTGAAATAATTTTAGAGTAGAGTGTGTGGCGAAATTGCTATACATGACAACTTTAAATGTTTCAAAATTCTTAAGGAAGGGCATTTTTAAATGTAATTCTTAGCTCTGACATATAAGACAATCCAATAAAAATCCTACTATTTTTAAAATGTTGACAAAAATGATCGTACATCAAGTTCAGTAATCGTATTTTATTTCGTTTTCTTTCTTTCCTTTTTTTTTAATTGAAAACTCTTGTAAAATTGTTTATTCTACGTTAATTAGATCACCTGCACATTGTTTTTCTTCTCTTGAACAGCATTTCAACCTTTTAAATAAATGAAAAATCCCATCATGCATTTTTCCTAGGAAGATGGTAATACTGAACTTGTTCACGTTGGCAGCTAGCAAAGATTTTTTTCGTCACATCTAATATAAGACAGTTCTATTAATATTTTACAATAGTGTTTATAAGAGTCAATATACACCGTGGTATTGATTAATTTGACCGTCATTAACTCTTTATTCCCTTGCGCAACTAGTTTCGAAGGGATAGGGCCTCGCTAATATGCATTTTTAGTGGGTGTGTTTGCGATTAAGCTTCTGGGTAAGATGGAAGGAGAGTCCTAGTACTTTGTCTCACCAAACTTAGAATACCAGGAATTCTTTTACATTGTAATAGGGCATTCCCTATCATTTTGCATGGTTATTAGTAAATTATTTCTCGGGACATTGTGTAATTACAACTCAACTTTTTGTGCGAGATATTGTAATGAGATGTACATGTTATGCTTATTTTCTGTGCGATCTTTTTAAAATATAGAAATTATAAACAGAAGAATTTTGTCTCATTTCACGGTGTTCTGTAAATAACAGGTTCTAAAAGCGAGGGGATGCTCCGCTTAGCGGTGCATTAATTATGGTTAGGGGAGTTTTTAGATTAAAATGTTTTTTACTGATACATGAGGTATGAGAACACTTTTAATTACATTTCTTACTGATTACCTGACGTAGGACAACACTTTACCTTTCTTACTGATTATATGACGAATGACAACAATTACTTTTCTTACTAATACCTGTGGTATGACAACAATTTATCTTTCTTACTAATACTTGAGGTATGACAACACTTGGTATCTATAGACTACAATATGGTCAAAACACTACGGTACAGAAAAAAAAAACTAGCTGACTAGTTTCCGAACCAGGTTTAGGACACAGGACATGTTTGGTTATAAGTTACATATACTCGTATTTTTTTTTTACTTTGGCTACTTCTTATTTTTCATATTTTAAATCAGATTTTTATCTTTGCATATCATGCATTAACGTGTATTTTAGATTTTCATTTCTGATGCTTGAGTGGTTTAAAAAAATGATAGATTCTCTTCAATGCTGAACAAGTTATTTAATAAATAGAGGTACCCAGAGAATGTGGCTGCACACTGAAAGAATTCTATGTAGATATATTTACACAGTATTTAAGAATACAATGTCAAAGTAGGAAACCCATATAAAAGCCTTTCAATCGATCAGAAAACACCGAGTATATGTCATTAAGGTGTAGAGTCTCTATTGGAAAAGGACCAGTCACTGTCCAGACCTGTCAATGTTTACGTCATGTTTACCGGTCACGCTGTGGTCCTTGGTAGCCTCGTTTTAAGTTTAGGGATCACTGGATCTCCAACAGATCCAGGTAAGTATTTATAAATAGTGCGACAGTAATGTGATAAATAGTTGGACAGTTTTTACGGGATGGATTTGTCCTTCTAATTCTAATTCTGGGCCAACCCTGAGTTTTCCTCTTATTGTTGAACCCAGATTCATAAAACCTCCAATAAGCCAACACGCGTTATAGTTTTAGTACTTTTATATAGAATCAGCATGGAATAAACTTTAACATGAGTTTGGGAACTATCAGCACCGAAGGTCTGATTCCAACTGACTATAATTTTTAACAACAAAACATACATACTGAACAAAGATATGACAAAATAAAGGGATTAACAAGAAAGTATAAAGAAATCAAGTATCAAACAATTATTGAGCGACTGGTGACATTTTAGCGGCATGTATATAATAGAATTAAAGAAGATGAAAGATTAAGTGACAATAAATATAAACAGAAGTCAATTAGGATATTAACTGTCTATGTCAGACTGCCTCAGGTAGAATTAAAGTTGTGCGGAATTTATAGAATTTATCACATTTGCCGAAATATACGAAAAGTTTTTATAACAATTTACACATAGTCCGAAAAGTTAATTTACACAGTAATTTATAATTAGTCCGAAAAGTCGTATTTTACACCGTAACACAGTAATGCCAATAATAACGAGACATTATTGTCATAAATAGTGGGACAGTAATATCATAAACAGTGGGACAGTAATATCATACATAGTGTGATAGTACTATCATAAATAGTGGGACAGTAATATCATAAATAGTGTGACAGTAATATCATAAATAGTGTGACAGTAATATCATAAATAGTGAAACAGTAATATCATAAATAGTGGGACAGTAATATCATAAATAGTGAGACAGTAATATCATAAATAGTGGGACAGTAATATCATAAATAGTGTGACAGTAATATCATAAATAGTAAGACAGTAATATCATAAATAGTGAGACAGTAATATCAGAAATAGTGGGACAGTAATATCATAAATAGTGAGACAGTAATATCATAAATAGTGAAACAGTAATATCATAAATAGTGGGACAGTAATATCATAAATAGTGAGACAGTAATATCATAAATAGTGGGACAGTAATATCATAAATAGTGTGACAGTAATATCATAAATAGTGAGACAGTAATATCATAAATAGTGGGACAGTAAGATAATGAATAGTGGGACAGTAATATCATAAATTGTGGAACAGTAATATCATAAAGAGTGGGACAGTAATATCATAAATAGTGTGACAGTAATATCATAAATAGTGGGACAGTAATATCATAAATAATGAGACAGTAATATCATAAACAGTGGGACAGTAATATCATAAACAGTGAGACAGTAATATCATAAATAGTGAGACAGTAATATCATAAATACTGTGACAGTAATATCATAAATAGTGAGGCAGTAATATCATAAATTGTGGAACAGTAATATCATAAATAGTGAGACAGTAATATCATAAATAGTGAGACAGTAATATCATAAATAGTGGGAAAGTAATATCATAAATAGTGGGACAGTAATATCATAAATTGTGGGACCTTAATATCATAAATAGTGAGACAGTAATATAATAAATAGTGTGACAGTAATATCATAAATAGTGGGACAGTAATATCATAAATAGTGTGACAGTAATATCATAAATAGTGGGACAGTAATATAATAAATAGTGTGACAGTAATATAATAAATAGTGGGACAGTAATATCATAAATAGTGGGACAGTAATATAATAAATAGTGGGACCTTAATATCATAAATAGTGAGACAGTAATATAATAAATAGTGTGACAGTAATATAATAAATAGTGAGACAGTAATATCATAAATAGTGGGACAGTAATATAATAAATAGTGAAACAGTAATATCATAAATAGTGAGACAGTAATATCATAAATAGTGAGACAGTAATATCATAAACAGTAATATCATAAATAGTGGGACAGTAATATCATAAATAGTGTGACAGTAATATCATAAATAGTGGGACAGTAATATCATAAATAGTGGGACAGTAATATCATAAATAGTGGGACAGTAATATCATAAATAGTGAGACAGTAATATCACAAATAGTTGGACAGTAATATAATAAATACTGTGACAGTAATATCATAAACAGTGTGACAGTAATATCATAAATAATGGGTCAGTAATATCATATATAGTGTGACGTTAGTATCAATAATAGTCGGGATTTATTTCATCAAAAGTGGGGCAGTAATGTCATAAATAGTCAAACGATAATGTAGATAAGTTTAAAAAGGAATGAGGAAGTTTTTTTTGTTGAATTATATAATTATGTTATTGACACATACATCAAGACTTAGTTATAATCGCTTAACATGCTTTTCTTGCCCTGATTTTGCCCAGAGCTCTGACTGGTAGGTCCTTACGAACCATTGATTTAATGTGTTTGTTTATAGAAATCATTCAAACCACGACTGTCTTAAAGAAATATCTGACAGATACACTTAAATAAAACAAACACATGGATATCTTTACCATCAATGTGTTCGCTTTAATTTCGGGCGTGAATCTCGCTACCACTCGTAACCAGCACGTGACCGCATTAAAGAACACCATGTGCAAGAACAAGTGCTGAAATAAAAATTCTATTTATCATCCTAGATCTAAGGAATTCTTTTCTTTGTTCGTATGATGGTGTATTTATGTGATATAATTTGTTGAGACTTTAGAGCAAGCAATCTTATTCTCTTTAGTTTATATATTTACTGCTCAGAATATGTAATAACGTTTTACTCGCGTTCTTTTTGCTCCTTTTGTTTTTTAACCAACTTCTGTGTGTGTGTTGGGGGTGGGGGGGGGGGGGGTCATATTTATGCTTCAGTCTTTGTTTAGCAGCAGAGTACTCTTACAAACTGATATCTACCCATCAATCCAAATTTAATTAATATCTAATGTATATATACTTTATGTAGCAAAAATGTATTCATATTAAGCTAAATCCAAACAACATTTACGAGGGGTTGTCAAAAAGTTCGTGGACTAGCACCAAAAACGCTTGAGGAACATCAATGAATTTTGACACATTTAATTTGCATCATCTTTTCTCTCAATACAATAAGATATGAATCATAAGTTTTATTGTTTTAATAGATTGTTAATGTTTTTGTAAGCAATATGCTATGACCAGACGGCGCAAAATACGTATTTTGTACCCGAGTCTAAAGGATATGAGCATTCGTCCTCCAATAATCATGTTAATTAACTCATGTGGTATGACAAATGTTCTGTAAAAATTTGCAATTTTTACCTCATTCTTTAAGTTCTATGAATTTTTTTCGTGAATTTTATATGGAATACACAAAAAATAAAGGGGTTAAATATGACGCAAGACGGGGGAGGGATGTATTTTTTTCTACATTCTACAAAGTTTCATCGCTGGAAAATCTGGCATAGACCTAGGAGATGTTTAAATAGGCTACAGAGAAGAGTACCTGTTTTTAAATGCCGAAAATCTCCTGTGCGGTAGACATTGAACGCAAACAAGCAAATTATGCTGGCCTAATCAAGTGAGAATCTTTGCCATTATATAGATCCATTTACAATATTATGCATTGAAATCAGCTGACATTGTGAAGTTATATAAACAAGAAGGGTTTAAATCTGAACTCGAGGGAATTTTGTCAAGAAAGATTCATTGAGGCAGAGGGAGCGGACATTGAGAAACAATGACGTTTTCGGACGTCATGAAATTCAACGGCGACAGTGACATATAATGTCTTCTGTTTTAATGATAATTTGGCAAATAATCAACTCTTCACACTAAAATTTTCAACATTTCTAACATTTTTGCTGTTGTATGTTCGTTATAAATTTTGTAAGTATTTTTTGATAACCCCTCGTACCTGTGCATAGAGTAGAAATGTATCCATTGGCATATTGGTTAAACTCCAACTTTTAGAAATTTATGAAGTTTTGGTACATCTTGAATTCGTTCCAATTTTCATGGTACTTTAATCAAATGAAAATAAGTGTTAAAATGTTAAGTAAGTATCTAAAAGTATTTCCTATTTTAAATCCTAGTACTGCACATGTGGTAAGGTTTACGTGTAATGTTTTGTGTGATTGAAATGAAATTGACCAATCAAAGGCTCGGAAAGTTCACAACTGTGACGAAACAGAACTAGTAAGTGTAATGTAAACTTCAAAAGAAACCGCCATATATACATGTGTAATCATCGCTTTTCGCAAGTTGAATGGATGCCATATCTAAATCTTTGAAAAGAAATTATCTTAAGATATATACTAGTATTAAAAATTTAAATTGATAAGGACACTTGAATTGCTACCTAAACCAAATGGATACATGGATTGGAATATATTTCTGGAATCATTTTGGTTTTAAATTTGGCAAGAAATTTCTTTCTATAATGTTCAAATTTCTTCCTTTTTGCCATCACCCTTTTAAATCTATACAATTTTAGATCACTTTATTGGACATTATTGAGAAACTTTGAATAAAAAAATAAACTTTATGCGGCTAAATTTATTCAGTTTACTTATATCATAGATTGTCATTCTCATGATTTTTTTTTTTTTTAAAGAAAAAACTTGCAGCATCTGTCCTTAATGTCAGTAACCATTCTCTTGGAGAATACTAGCATTCACTAGAGTTATAAGTGGTATTACTACGTAAGTGATATCCGATTGTTAAATTCTTAAACGAAAGTGAACGTTCAAGGTTTGGAAGGTAATTTTTTTAACATCATTTTGGAGTATAATGTGTATTTCTTTATATCTTTGTATTTTGTGTTTGTTAATGTTTTTATTGCTTTGCTCTGCAGTTGTTGTTCTTTTGATTTGACCCCCCCCCCCCGTTTCTCCCAGTAAGGGGACGCGATGAAGAAGTATATAGCCCGTTTGTATTTGGACAGGTCTGGGTAGTGATGATGAAGTCAAGCTGATTGAGTACCTGTTTGTGGACAAAAACTACAACCCACTGATCCGACCGGTCAGGAACATCAATGAGTCAATTGAGGTTCAGTTCAACCTGGCATTGAGTCAGCTTATCAGCGTGGTAAGTCATAATCTAAGAAACAAGTCAATCGACCTATCGATTTGTTGTACATCATAATACTAGACACTTATCAGTCTGAGTCATATGTCATAAACTTAACCCGTCAACCCGTTTATTGATGTGTTGTACGTCATAATCTTAGATAGAAGTCAGTCTTATTATCGATACATAGTAAGTCTTAACTTTAGAAGCAAGTAAACCTACTTATTGATATGTGAAAAGTCATAAACTTAGACGCAAGGCAACATACTTATCACTCAATAAGTGGGATTCATTTGACTAAGTCGCCTGCTCATTAATGTATGGCCTTGATTAGGATTCAATTCATCCTACTTGTCAGTATGTGATAAATCATAATTTGAAACTGCTTATCAATATCTAGTAGGTCATAACCTCAGATCCTCAACCTGCTTATCAGTATCTAGTAGGTCATAACCTCAGACCCTCAACCTGCTTATCAATATCTAGTAGGTCATAACCTCAGACCCTCAACCTGCTTATCAATATCTAGTAGGTCATAACCTCAGATCCTCAACCTGCTTATCAGTATCTAGTAGGTCATAACCTCAGATCCTCAACCTGCTTTTCAATATCTAGTAGGTCATAACCTCAGAACCTCAACCTGCTTATCAGTATCTAGTAGGTCATAACCTCAGATCCTCAACCTGCTTATCAATATCTAGTAGGTCATAACCTCAGATCCTCAACCTGCTTATCAATATCTAGTAGGTCATAACCTCAGACCCTCAACCTGCTTATCAATATCTAGTAGATCATAACCTCAGACCCTCAACCTGCTTATCAATGTCTAGTAGGTCATAACCTCAGATCCTCAACCTGCTTATCAATATCTAGTAGGTCATAACCTCAGACCCCCAACCTGCTTATCAATATCTAGAAGGTCATAACCTCAGACCCTCAACCTGCTTATCAATATCTAGTAGATCATAACCTCAGACCCTCAACCTGCTTATCAATATCTAGTAGATCATAACCTCAGACCTTCAACCTGCTTATCAATATCTAGTAGGTCATAACCTCAGATCTTCAACCTGCTTATCAATATCTAGTAGGTCATAACCTCAGACCCTCAACCTGCTTATCAATATCTAGTAGATCATAACCTCAGACCCTCAACCTGCTTATCAATGTCTAGTAGATCATAACCTCAGATCCTCAACCTGCTTATCAATATCTAGTAGGTCATAACCTCAGATCCTCAACCTGCTTATCAATATCAAGTAGGTCATAACCTCAGATCCTCAACTTGCTTATCAGTATCTAGTAGGTCATAACCTCAGACACTCAACCTGCTTATCAGTATCTAGTAGGTCATAACCTCAGACACTCAACCTGCTTATCAATATCTAGTAGGTCATAACCTCAGACCCTAAACCTGCTTATCAATATCTAGTAGGTCATAACCTCAGACACTCAACCTGCTTATCAATATCTAGTAGGTCATAACCTCAGACACTCAACCTGCTTATCAATATCTAGTAGGTCATAACCTCAGACCCTAAACCTGCTTATCAATATCTAGTAGGTCATAACCTCAGACACTCAACCTGCTTATCAATATCTAGAAGGTCATAACCTCAGACACTCAACCTGCTTATCAATATCTAGGAGGTCATAAACTCAGACACTCAACCTGCTTATCAATATCTAGTAGGTCATAACCTCAGACACTCAACCTGCTTATCAATATCTAGTAGGTCATAACCTCAGACCCTAAACCTGCTTATCAATATCTAGTAGGTCATAACCTCAGACACTCAACCTGCTTATCAATATCTAGAAGGTCATAACCTCAGACACTCAACCTGCTTATCAATATCTAGGAGGTCATAAACTCAGACACTCAACCTGCTTATCAATATCTAGTAGGTCATAACCTCAGACACTCAACCTGCTTATCAATATCTAGTAGGTCATAACCTCAGACCCTAAACCTGCTTTTCAATATCTAGTTCGTTATAAACTAAGACACTCAACCTGCTTATCAGTATCTAGTAGGTCATAACCTCAGACCCTCAACCTGCTTATCAATATCTAGTAGGTCATAACCTCAGATCTTCAACCTGCTTATCAATATCTAGTAGGTCATAACCTCAGACCCTCAACCTGCTTATCAATATCTAGTAGGTCATAACCTCAGACCCTCAACCTGCTTATCAATGTCTAGTAGATCATAACCTCAGATCCTCAACCTGCTTATCAATATCTAGTAGGTCATAACCTCAGATCCTCAACCTGCTTATCAATATCAAGTAGGTCATAACCTCAGATCCTCAACCTGCTTATCAGTATCTAGTAGGTCATAACCTCAGACACTCAACCTGCTTATCAGTATCTAGTAGGTCATAACCTCAGACATTCAACCTGCTTATCAATATCTAGTAGGTCATAACCTCAGACCCTAAACCTGCTTATCAATATCTAGTAGGTCATAACCTCAGACACTCAACCTGCTTATCAATATCTAGTAGGTCATAACCTCAGACCCTAAACCTGCTTATCAATATCTAGTAGGTCATAATCTCAGACACTCAACCTGCTTATCAATATCTAGAAGGTCATAACCTCAGACACTCAACCTGCTTATCAATATCTAGGAAGTCATAAACTCAGACACTCAACCTGCTTATCAATATCTAGTAGGTCCTAACCTCAGACACTCAACCTGCTTATCAATATCTAGTAGGTCACAACCTCAGACCCTAAACCTGCTTATCAATATCTAGTTCGTCATAAACTAAGACACTCAACCTGCTTATCAGTATCTAGTAGGTCATAACCTCAGACACTCAACCTGCTTATCAATATCTAGTAGGTCATAAACTCAGACACTCAACCTGCTTATCAATATCTAGAAGGTCCTAACCTCAGACACTCAACCTGCATATCAATATCTAGTAGGTCATAAACTCAGACACTCAACCTGCTTATCAATATCTAGAAGGTCCTAACCTCAGACACTCAACCTGCTTATCAATATCTAGTAGGTCATAACCTCAGACCCTAAACCTGCTTATCAATATCTAGTTCGTCATAAACTCAGACACTCAACCTGCTTATCAGTATCTAGTAGGTCATAACCTCAGACACTCAACCTGCTTATCAATATCTAGAAGGTCATAACCTCAGACCCTAAACCTGCTTATCAATATCTAGTTCGTCATAAACTCAGACACTCAACCTGCTTATCAATATCTAGTAGGTCATAACCTCAGACACTCAACCTGCTTATCAATATCTAGTAGGTCATAACCTCAGACCCTAAACCTGCTTATCAATATCTAGTAGGTCATAACCTCAGACCCCCAACCTGCTTATCAATATCTAGTAGGTCATAACCTCAGACCCTCAACCTGCTTATCAATATCTAGTAGGTCATAACCTCAGACCCTCAACCTGCTTATCAATATCTAGAAGGTCATAACATCAGACAGCTTATCAAAATGAGGTAAGACAGAACATTAAACTCAAAACAACATGCTTAACAGTATGTGGTAAGGTAGAACCTCAGAGATGTCAACCTTGAATTCAATATGTGGTAAGTCATAATCTTAAACATGTCGACCTCCTTATCAATATACAGTAAGTCATAACCTTAAACATGTCGTCCTCCTTAACAATATGTGGTAAGTCAGAACCTTAAACTCAAAACAACCTGCTTGTCAATATGTGGTAAGGTAGAACCTCAGAGATGTCAACCTGCTTACCAATATGTAAGACAAAGTCGTGTAAGTTTTTTTACGATGGCCGATATCAGCTATGTCATTCTACAGTTAAGTGTAGAATGCCAGTGCTATTTACAGTTTGCTTTGTCAGGTTACTCATTGCTGGAGTAAAGTGTACAATGTGTACACCAAGACTGCAACATTGTCACGACATTCACATTGCTCGAAAGATGTGAATTGTATACATGTGTTATTAATTGACGGTTTACTCTTATCTGCAATTAAAATTTTTCAAAAACAAATATAAATCCCTTCATCTGGAAACAGCAGTAGGGACATATAGTATGGTCAAGGAGGCAATAAAGTTTTAACATGAAAGGGAAAGCCTTTGGTAGGATATAAAAGATATATAATGCCAAACCTATAATGTTTAGAATATTTGTTTGCTACTGTCCCCATTCTTTTCCAAAAAGATTCAATAAAAATGTGTTGAAATTAAATCAGATTTGTATGGTTGATATTTGTATACATGTATTTTACCTTAACAAATTTCATAATTGTATGATATGACAAAGAAACAAATGTTTACTTTATTTATAAGTGCATACTGAATTATTGAATTTTTCAGACAACCTGTTTATTATCAATATGTTACTGCACTATTACGAAGCAAATAATTGACAAACGTTGAAACATTTCATTAAAAAATTGAGATTTATATATTTCTGAGAGATAATCATTTTCAGAAATAACAACAAATGCGAATTCTGGATTTTTTGTGAACGGGGATGTTACCAAGTCATTAAGAAATTAAAGTCAATATTTCATTTCAAAGAAGAATGGGGACAGTTGCAAACAAATATTCTAAACATTAAAGGTTTGGCATTATATATCTTAAATATCCTACCAAAGGCTTTCTCTTTCATGTTAAAACTTTATTGCCTCCTTGACCATACTTTATGTCCCTACTGCTGAAAATTTTAATTGCAGATAAGAGTAAACCGTCAATTAATAACATGTATACAATTCACATCGTCCGAGCAATGTGAGTGCAGTGACAGAGCTGAAATCTTGGTGTACACATTGTACACTTTACTCCAGTAACCTGACAAAGCAAACTGTACATAGCACTGACATTCTACACTTAATTTAACTGTAGAATGACATGGCTGATATCGGCCATTGTATTTTTGCGTGTAGAAGGTCATAAACACAATCTTAACCTCACTCATAGTAAATACGCCAACTTGTTTTGATTTAGTAGCCATATACTTAACCTCACTCATAGTAAACAGGCAAACTTGTTTTGATTTAGTAGCCATATACTCAACTACACTCAAAGTAAACAGGCAAACTTGTTTTGATTTAGTAGCCATATACTCAACTACACTCATAGTAAACAGGCAAACTTGTTTTGATTTAGTAGCCATATACTCAACTACACTCATAGTAAACAGGCAAACTTGTTTTGATTTAGTAGTCATATACTCAACTACACTCAAAGTAAACAGGCAAACTTGTTTTGATTTAGTAGCCATATACTCAACCTCACTCATAGTAAACAGCAAACTTGTTTTGATTTAGCAGCAACATACTCAATCCGACTCATTGTAATTAGGCAAACTTGTGTTGATTTAGTAACCTCATACTTAACCAGCCTTTTAGTACAATAAGGTTCCTCGGCCCTAATTTTAATTCAAGCAACCGCGTTTATATTTCTAACGTACCAAGGACTGTATTTCTTCACTGTAAAGGGATATCTTATTAATTTTATATGAAATCGTCTAAAAGAAATTCTGAATTGAAATGCACTGTGTGTCAAAACTTATATTTAGAATTTTTTTTACCCCTATTTGATGAAGAAAGTTATTAATTTTACAATTCAATATTTTTTTAGGATGAAAAGAATCAAATTATGAAAACAAATGTCTGGCTACAGATGGTAAGTAACTCTCTATTAACTCTCTATTAATATTTTACAATCTCCTGTGTTGGAACATTTCACGGTGGTTTTAATTTCGGGATACTGAACTTCTTATTAACCCTAACCATGTCGACAATATTTAAGATATCTTAATGTTCGCAGACAAGCCTTTGATCGTGAAAATAGTGAAAATTAAACCTCCCACAATGTATTCTACTTCTACAGTATATAGTAAAGATGTGTTTCTTCAAATCAAGGCAGTAGGAGGAATCGGCAACGGGGAGGGGAGGGCAAATTTTTATAATTATAAATGCATGACGGGTATTTTCTGTGGCTTGCCTGCAAGGTTTCAAATAAATTTCTGAGTTTCTAATTTCTGTGATTGCATTAATACCGCTCTAATCATTAATGGGATATGACTACCGGATAATGAGGATTTGGAAGATTACTGCTACGTTTGATTGATTGATTGATTGTTTGTTGTTTTACGTCCTATTCGAGAATTTTTCACTCATATAGAGACGTCAACATATACCGGTGAAGGGCTTCAAATTTTGACCTTTACTCGGCACTGAGGGCCATTGAGCAGTGAGGGATCTTTATCGTGCCAACGCCTGCCCTGACACGGGGCCTCGGTTTTTAAGGTCTCATCCGAAGGACCTGCAACTTTCACTTCAAAGTGCCGAGCGCATGGCGAAGGAACAGTTGCTACCCATTTTTTATCGACTTAGGTCTGTCGCGGCCGAGATTCGAACTCACGACCTCCCGATCACGGAGCGAGCGCTCTACCGACTGAGCTAAGTGAACGGTCTGCTACGTTTGATGTACTTGACGATTCAATGAATGTTGACATTGTTTACAGTGAACTAGGAGTGAAACTAAGCTCTACTATCTTTATAGTTGTGAATGGTTTTACATATATTATACATCAGTAGATATAACTTTTTTTATAATGGAAAAGTAAGCTATCATAACATAGAATTAGGCGAAAAACTACCCTGCCGTGCAACATTTACGAATTTGAGGGAAGCTCACTCCTCCTTGGCACCTGATCCCACCTCTGTTTTTGGAGATCCGTGTTTGCTCTGCTCCCAATTTGTATTGTTTTAATGGACTTTGGGTTTAAATACTATTCATTATCTTCATATTTCATTACAGACTATTTTAAGAATATTCAGCAATTGTGAGTTTTGCGGATTTGTCCTTTCCTCAAAAATGTGACAAAAATTTCTCTCAAAAATGGAAACCGCAGAAAATGACCGTTGTACAGTAGTCACATGATGGAGAAAACTTTAAAAACCTCAAGAACAGAAAATCCACAGTCATATCAATTATCTTCCCTCTCCTTATTTGTAGAATTAGGTTTGTTCCAATTATGGTCTCATAGGCTAAGGTGGAGCCACAGTAGGAAATCAAACTTAATATGGAATACATATATCTATTTAATATCATTTTTTCAAGAAAGAAAGGGTCATAATTAGTCATATTGATACACTGTATTTAAGCATTCCCTGGTTGTGCAAATTCAAGTTTGTTCAAATCATAATCCCTGAGGCTAGGATGTGCAACAGCTGGGGATAAAAGTTCAACATATGAATATTTATAAGGGGTCGGTGGTGTCTTTGAATTATTCAAATAAAATTCCTTGTGATAGCACTGGGGCACAGTAAAGAATTAAATATCTACATGAAATGTAAAAAAGTATACATATATTTAAAATCATCTTTTCTGTACAATAGGACCACAAGTAATTGTGTTATTACTATGCAAGCATCCTGAATGTAATTTGTTCAAATCATGGACAAGGAAGCTAGCATGGGGCTGAAACAGGGATTCAAAGTTTTACATGAAAATGGATAGGATTTTATTTTTCTTAAATTCTTCTATAAGAGTAACAAGGATACACTAAATCATATCGATCGTGTGTTAAAGGTAGGGGAAAAAGGGGGGGGGGTCTAAAATGTATATATATAAGAACTCATCTCCAGAACAACAAAAGCATGTTGGTCAAATTGATGTTCAGCTTATTTTAATTGTGTGGATTCAAGTTTAGATAAGTCAAAGTCTCAGGAATCAGACTGACAGGAACAAAATCTTAAAGTTTAGATAAGTCAAAGTCTCAGGAATTAGACTGACAGGAACAAAATCTTTAAGTTTAGATAAGTCAAAGTCTCAGGAATTAGATTGTCAGGAACAAAATCTTTAAGTTTAGATAAGTCAAAGTCTCAGGAATTAGATTGTCAGGAACAAAATCTTTAAAGTTCTTCAGGGCTAAGGTGACTCAGGTGAGCACTGTGGTCCACAGTCCTCTTTTTCTTCAGTTTGTTTTGCTTGCTTGGTTTGTTTCGTTTTGTGTGTGTGTGTGCGTGTTTAAGCTTCGTCTGTCAGTAAGAGCAGGGTAAGCCATATATGTGATGAGTATATCCAACAATCCTTTAGCTTACCTAGGAACATTCTATTTACTTTCATGTTCCTTATTTACAGTACTGGTACGACTATCAGCTCACGTGGAACCCAGACAAATATGGCGGAATTAAGACGATTCGAATTAATCACTCTAAGGCTTGGAGACCGGACATCGTCTTGTTCAATAAGTGAGTGTTATTGCTGTCCTTGTTTAATTTCCTGTTTGAATAGATATTGTGGAACTTCTGACTTTTAAACCTCTATCTCTTTAAAAAGTACCTTATTAAAGCAACTACAGCTCTACATATTCAATTACAATGTATAATTTCTGTATCTAGCTGTACCTGTTCAATTTTTTTTTTTCTTCGATTCTTTGTGTTTTTGTAAACACCTCATTATATGTGTATTTTTTATGTGTCGCTCATCTAAGAAACATCTTTTTTGTGCCGGACAAAGGGAATAAAAATCCCATAAACACACAAACGAAAATAAAAAAAAAAGCCGCGGTAATGTTGAAGTATCATGTGCAGCGCGTTTTTTATTTTACTAGCGCTGACGGGAAGTACCAGGTGAGCTACGAGTCTAATGTGGTGATGAATTATGATGGTTTGATCTATTGGATTCCACCTGCCATTTACCGGTCCTCATGTGATATCGACGTCAAGTACTTCCCGTTTGATCAACAGGAATGCGAAATGAAGTTCGGGTCTTGGACGTTTCTGAAAAACCAACTCTTCTTCACATATTACTTGAACAGAAGGACTCTGGATTTTTCTGACTATTTGCGCAGTGGGACATGGGATATCATCGACAGTCCGGCCTGGATTCAGGAGCAAAAAGATCCAGTATCTGGTGAAATCCGAGATTTGTACATTGTTAAATTTGTTGTCAGAAGAAAGACCTTGTTCTATATTGTAAACCTAATTGTACCCTGTGTGTTGATTTCCTTTTCAAGCGTCTGTACGTTCGCGTTACCTAGTGACGGTGGAGAAAAGATCACAATGTGTATATCCATTCTTCTCGCTCTGGTTGTGTTTCTTCTACTGATTTCCAAGATTTTGCCTCCTGCTTTGACAATTCCTCTGATCGCTAAGTACCTTCTCTTCAACTTTATTATGACCATCATAGCCATCTGTTGTACCGTGTTTGTGTTGAATAAGAACCACAGGACTCCTCGGACTCACTCCATGCCCGGATGGATTCGAGTGGTCTTTCTTTACTACCTCCCGAAATTCCTTTTCATGAAGAGACCAGGACACGAAACCCGATGGAAAGGGCGACAACTGAAAGACATAGTGAAAGAGTCAAGAACAGGCACCCCTGATGCTGCTTTGTATAGGATGCCTGAAATTGAGAGAAATCATCCAGATATTAATGATACACACTTTGCGGAAGCAGACAGCCATATCATTCCAGGGAACAACGAGACAATGTCATCTATTGAAGTGTTCAGTGAGGATTTCAAGAGAGCCTCAGATGCGTTAAAGTTTATCCGACAGCACACATTGAAGCACGACCACTATGACACTGTAAGTAAAGGGTTATCCAACACAAAAGATCATTTATTTTTAATCCATTAGGTTACTAGTAAACTGAGATTTTATAATAGTTATGAAATTTTAAGATAGTCTAAATGGGCAAAACAAAACTGTACGAAACTGTATGAAGTCCTTGGGTTTGTTTATCTATTCCTTTTTGGTTTGTAGATCATTGATGACTGGAAGTATGTAGCCAGTGTCATTGATCGTCTGCTTCTGGTCATCTTCCTCCTGGTGACTGTCGGGGGCACCATGGGCATTTTCCTCCAAGCCCCGAACATTTTCTCCGTCGTCGATCAGGATGCCATCATCGACAAACTCATGTCTTCCCTTAATTGACTTCCTGTCGATGAACAAATCGAACACTCCAACAGTTGACAATATGCGCCCTATTTATATTTTTATGACAGAGAAGTTGCAAAAGCACTACTGATTTTTCATTTATTTTTAGAATAACCGTTTTTCTATGCATTAGCGGGTATTTTTGTAGATGTCTATTGTATTTTTTATTAGTCTTACACTTTTGATGATGATGACATTTGGTTTATGCACACTGTGAATATGTCTTCCAGTAAAATGTTGATGATACCTGTATAAAGCCCTGAATATTTTTTTTTCGATTTTTCTTAAGAATATATGTATATATAGACACTCGTATTCATATAGCTGCTACGAGTAGAATATTGTGACGTCTTCCTAGCAATGAAATGCCTGTTTTTCAGAAGTTCTTCATATATTAAAAGTGGTGCGTTTTAGCCACATCCTAGAAACATATTTTCTTATTATTATCAGGTATCCATCTGTGAATTTCCATTTTATTTTTCTTTTAATTTTACTTTGTCTGTATTGAAATAATAATCATCGTATCCCTTGGTATATGTGATTGTTTATGGAATAAATATTTTTAAAAATTGTCAGATCTTGCTTTATTTACATTTTATCTCTATTATAATAATAGCTTTCATTGCTCTTGATATAATATTTTTGTACCTTTGATCTTTTAGCGCTGATGGTAAATATGAGGTTACTTATGAATCAAATGTAGTGTTAATGCAGCCGGAGGGTTCCGAAGGATCTGCGAACATCTATCAAGTCCCCCCAGCTATATATAAAAGTTCCTGTGACATCAACGTGGAGTATTTCCCTTTTGATGAGCAGGAATGTGAAATGAAATTCGGTTCTTGGACGTTTGAGGCGGACCAGCTAAACTTTACTTATTATAAGTTCTACGGACTAGACATGACAGATTATTTAAAGAGTGGAACATGGGATATTGTAGACTGTCCAGCAAGAATAGTAATCTGTACCGACCCTGAAACAAAGAGGCGGATCAGCATGTATATCGCTAAATTTATCATCCGTAGGAAAACCCTGTTCTACACGGTGAACTTGATTATCCCCTGTATGCTAATTTCTTTCGTTAGTATATGTGTGTTTATGTTGCCAGCAGATGCTGGTGAGAAAATAACACTGATTATTTCTATTTTGTTGGCTCTGGTGGTGTTTCTGCTCCTGATTTCTAAACTATTACCGCCATCAAAGACCATCCCACTGATAGCTAAGTATCTGTTGTTTACTTTTATCATGAATATTATTGCTATTGGTTCCACAGTTTTCATCATAAACCGGAACTACCGAACTCCTCGAACACACCGAATGCCAGAGTGGGTTCGAATAGTCTTCTTAAAATACTTACCCAAATTTCTTTTTATGACGCGCCCCAATCATGACAGACGATGGAAAAGTCCCTTAAGGGTGCATTCTGTGGAGTGTCTGGAAAATGATGTGAAAAGACACGTTGATCACGAAATGTGCAACAAGCATTCAAGGAACTGTCAACTGCACAACATTTCAGAAGCAACAGAAATAGAGTACACTCCAATGAGTCCCGAGTTAATAGAAGCCACGGAAGCCATTGGATTTATCACGGAGCACCTGAAGTGGGAGGACAGATATGGCTCGGTGTGTTTTTAATATTTCTTCTGTCTGAGTACAATCCGTGTTACAAGTTAGTTTTAATGATTAATATATATTCATACTAATGTCGAGGTATTGCTATGAAGGGTTAAAATCCACAGTGCTGCAGCATACAGAATTTGTATAATGTTACTGTGTGTACCGTAGCAGTACATTTTTTTAGGTCTTTTTCTATAATTATATTTTATTTACAGGTCACAGATGACTGGAAATACATGGCCAGTGTCGTTGATCGAATGCTTCTCTACATTTTTCTCATTGTTACTGTATGTGGGACAGTAGGGATATTGATGCAAGCACCATATATTTTAGAAAATATTGATCAAGACGAATTATTGAGCAAGATTATGGATAAATACAAAGTGAACAAGGCAGGCAATGTCGCTCCAGACCTGATATATCAAAATGCGCCCTGCTGATACAGGCTTAAAATAATGCAGCCTTTGTTCCAAATCAATATTTTAAAATAATTTAATAAAAGATTTATTTGAGCTTTGTTCCTGTTTTTCTTCAGTGTTTTGCCCTGTTCTGAATGTCTATTGTTTGTAGGATTTATGGGATCAATCGCCACATTTTCAATTCAAAATCTGATATTCCATTCTTAGAGGAAACAGATAGATGTCATTTCAAACGGTTAAGTCAACAGAGGAAAACATTCTTTTAAGTTTTCATTTTTTCACAATAGTGGCATGTTCTGTAACGGCTAAAGAGTATTGTAAAATCGTGTGGCTGATGGTGGCATGTTCTGTTACTACTATGCCTAGTAGCTGGTGGTAGCTTTTTTCTATTACTGGTATAGAATATACTGTCGAACCGTGTTTCTGGTGTTGGTATACTGCATGTTCTGATGTGTTGTTGCATGACGCTTCTAATATTTTATCTGTCTTTTGCAGAGATAATAACGTTTTAATTTTCCTAGGTGCATCGTGGTGGCTTTATCAATACAAAAAAAATGTAGTGCCATTCATTATCAATTGTTCATGACGTAGTCACTTACTCTATAGAAACGCAATCACTCGTTATGTTAGTGACATGATCACTTGTTATGTTAGTGATATAATCACTTGTTATGTTTTTCTTTTATTTCACCTCAGTGCGGATGGGAAGTACGAAGTGTCATACGAATCAAACATCCTTCTCTCCTACGATAGTCTGGTTTACTGGATTCCGCCGGCCATTTACAAAAGCTCCTGCACAATTGATGTCCAGTTCTTTCCTTTTGACCAACAAATTTGTGAGATGAAGTTCGGTTCCTGGACTTTCACGGACAAACAGCTTAACTTTACCTTTTACAATAATATGAACAGTTTGGATTTCACGGATTATCTTAAGAGTGGCTCTTGGGATATTATTGCTGGTCCTGGACGGATAACTACAGAAATAGATCCGGGTTCAAATCTGAACAAAGCAATGGTGATATTTGAATTTCACCTCCGCAGGAAAACTCTATTCTATACAGTTAACCTAATTATTCCATGTATATTAATATCGTTCGTCAGTGTCTGTGTGTTTTTGCTTCCAGCTGACGCATGTGAGAAAATAACGCTTTGCATTTCTATTTTGCTGGCGTTGGTTGTGTTTTTGTTGCTTATTTCCAAAATTTTACCGCCATCCCTGCAGATCCCTCTGATTGCGCATTACTTACTGTTTACTTTCATCATGAACATTCTTGCAATTTGCCTAACAGTGTTTGTGATCAACAAGAATTTCAGGACTCCCAGAACACACCAAATGCCCAACTGGATTCGAGTGGTTTTTCTGAATTACCTGCCCCGCTTGCTGCTGATGACGCGGCCCAATCACATGCAGAGGTGGCAGAAACCTCTAAAGGAGGAGCAACATGAAGGGATTGTAATTAATCAAAACAACGTAATGAAATCAAACAACTTTTCCGCGTACCCACCTAACTACCAGGAATTGACCGAGATGCACCGCCCAGAATGCCGTCGTCATAACAACAGAAACATTCCAGAAGGCTCCCCTCTTTTAGGTTTAACACGTCAAACTGTCAATCATCTGGTCGACAATGCGTCACAAAATAAACCTTTTAAGATGACCCCTGAACTAAGGGAAGCAACCGAAGCTCTGAAATTCATTACCGAACACTTAAAGGCCGAGGACGAGTATGATACGGTAAGTCTGGTCGTCTTCTTGAATAGTAATGGGAAGTTAAAAGTACTCTTGGCAATGATTAAAACATACACGGATAAGACAAAAAGTCACACAATTATCCATGCAGATTTTAATTTAATTCTAATTTTAACATTTAGCTATTTGTTTTTAGAAGTAAAATAATATATATTCTAGGTGTTGGATGACTGGAAGTTCGTGGCCAGTGTGTTGGACCGTCTTCTTCTCATTGTATTTTTGACTGTTACCATATTTGGAAGTATTGGTATCCTGATGCAGGCACCATATATACTGCAATATGTAGACCAAGATGAAATTATCAGGAAACTAATGGGGAAGTATATGAAGTGACCTGTCCTGAGATGACTTTGTGTTGTTTGAACATGTGGTGATGGGGCGGCAATAGCTGTCAAAAGTTTGTTTAATTGTGTCCATTGATTATTTATAGACATATCAGATGGGTTTTTTCTGTGTATTATATATTTACTTGACGTTTTTTATGTCATGTGATTTTGATGTTTTAATTTGTTACACACTTTTGTAATTTTTATATTTAATGTTGCTTTTCTCGGTTTTTAGTTAGGAAAAAGCTATCAATAAATAATCCATTTTTACTTACGCACATGCATATCGGGTATCTTAGTGCTAGTAATGTTTATTATTCTAGAAACTCTTGCTAAACCATTATATTTGCACTCAAGGCTGCATAAATATACACGTATCTTGATATAATGCAGTTTTGCTTCTCAGAATTTGGAAAATAATTTCTTCCTTATGAGGAAATGCAAATTTTAATCATTTATGATCAATATTTATGCAGCTCTGAGGGCTCTATGGGTAATGGATGCTGCTTGAGAACCTCTGTGGTACTGCTGCATGCTAAATCACTGCTTATTGTTTAAGGTAGATGGATACTAATGAAAACAAAAAAAAATGTGTGCAATATTGAAAGACAAAAAAAAATAGTTAAAGTAACACAATATCTTTACAATACCGCAAGTTGAAAGGAACAACAGCCTTTGTCACAACAACTATCTATATCTTTTTAATTTTCAAGTAAAATGTTAAACAATTAAACTCCAGATTCATTAATATAAGCACATCAAATAGGACAACAAAGTACAAAATAAATTATAGTACGGTTTACTCAGTAAATAGTGCAACAAAAGCATACAGACTGAATCCTAGCTATTCTTAAGGTAATACCGGTATATCACACAGATATTTAAAACTTATAAAATATAAAAACACAAACCGTTGTCCGTAAACAGATACTAAAAAAGAAACACCAAACACATTGCAATATGTTTTCGTCCGTTGTCGTTTAAGGTGTGTTTCCCTCGGTCATAACCTTTTAAGCATTTCCAGCATTTCTTAGTTGGCTAAACTAATTTTTGTACATATTATCTATGGGTAAAGGGGGGGGGGGGGAATGTGAATTTCATGGACTCTATCTCCCAAAGGGGTGTGCCCAAAACCACCAATATTTAGGAAATCTTCAAAAATTCTGAAGGTCTTTACTCCTAGAAATCAAGCATTCAAACTGTTGATGAAATGTGAAGCTAACGAAGAGTGATCAGCCTCAAATGTCTATCTAAATAATACAAATTATGAGCGGAGCCAACACGGACCTCTGAGAGCAGAGGTGGGATCAGGTGCCAGGGAAGAGTAAGCATCCCCTGTCTACCGGACAGACCCGCCGTGTGCTTATTGTCATGATCGGGAAATAACGGAAAAATACGTAGACAATTCAGTGTGAAAAGAATGGCCATAATAATATCCAATGCGCAATATTAACCGACTTCTTTTT